ATGGTGATCCGAAGTACAGAACATGGAAGGTGGAGAACAACTTGGTAATGTCCTGGCTAATTAATTCTATGACTAATGAAATTGGCGAGAATTTTCTTCTCTACAGCACGGCACAGGAAATCTGGGAGGCAGCAAAGGAATTCTATTCCAGCAAGGAAAACACCTCAGAGATATTTGAGACTGAGAGCAGTCTTCATGATCTTCGGCAAGGGGATCTTAATGTCACTCAATATTATGGCATTTTAACTCGCCATTGGCAACGACTGGATGTATTTGAGGAACATCATTGGGAATGTCCTAATGATGCAAAGAAATTCAGAGAGATAGTTGAAAAGAAAAGGATATTCAAGTTTCTTATGGGACTTAATAAGAATCTTGATGAGGTTTAGGGAGAATTCTGGGAATGAAACCCTTGCCCAGCATCCGTGAAGCCTTCTCCGAGGTGCGAAGAGAAGAGAGCAGGAAGAAGGTGATGATGGGGGATGTTCTGGGTAATCCAACCGCAGATCAAAGTTCAACCCTTACTGCTAGAGGTTTTCAACCTAACAGCAGTGACAATCGGGGAAAGAAGGGAAGAGCATGGTGTGAACACTGTAGAAAACCTGGCCATACCCGAGATACCTGCTGGAAGATCCATGGCAAGCCTGCAGATTGGAAACCCTCAAGACCTGCTCCTGACAGAGAAAGCCGTGGCAATCATGCTGCAGCAGAAGAAGGAACACCTTCCATCGAATCAAGTCCTTTCAACAAAGAACAACTTGAGACCCTACAAAAAATGTTCTCACAGCAGGATATCAGTCACAACATCATCGGAACAGGATCAGTAGCACAAAAAGGTAATCACATTAGTGCCTTTACTGTAAAATCCGAGAATCCAAAGTCATGGATTGTAGATTCGGGAGCCTCCGATCATATGACAAGAGATATCTCAATGTTTCACAAGTACAATCCATGTCAAGAAAACGTTACAGTGACAATAGCTGATGGATCTCACTCTAGAGTAGCCGGAACAGGTTCTATTATTATTTCAAAGGACCTTAGTCTAAATTCTGTCCTCTATGTCCCAAATCTTGATTGTAATCTCTTGTCCATCAGCAAGCTAACTCGAGAACATAACTGTGTTGCTAAGTTTTCTTCAAATGTGTGTGAATTTCAGGATTTGACTTCGGGGAGGATGATTGGCAATGCTAAGGTGCTGTCCGGACTATTTCTTCTTAAAGCTGAGGGATCTCCTAGAGGACAAACTCATAGTGCAGTACGTGTTGAGTCAAATAAAAGCCTTTTTTCTTCCAATAAAGACAATATTATTATGTTGTGGCACTATAGATTAGGCCACCCTAATTTCTTGTATCTTCAAAAACTATTTCCAGCATTTTTCAGAAATAAAAAGCCAAAAATGTTTGAGTGTGAAGTGTGCCAATTCTCTAAACATACTCGTATATCTTATCGCAATCTTCCATATAGAGCATCACAACCTTTTTTGATGATTCATAGTGATGTGTGGGGACCATCTAGAATAAAAAATATCAC